TTACACAGCCATGCTACATTTTAATGGGTGACTTTTATCCCTGGAAGGAGGAACAGTCCATAGAGTTCACAATTGATTTGTAGTGTTTTAAAATGACCCCCCCACAAGACAGGAAACCCTACACAATACCTATTTAAGAATGATCCCCCATTTAGAAATACTAATAATGGGCCCAGAATCTCCCTATATAGAGATCCATTCATGGTGTCCCCATCTTTATTTAGGGACCTGTCTATGCTCTACTCCTCTTTGGTGCTTGAGTTACTATAACAAGTTGCACAATGAAGACATGAACAAGTGTTAAATGACAGTAGTTCACTCTAAAGAGCTTGTAGAAATAGCCAAACAAAGCATTTAGGAAAAATAAGCGATAATCAGAAAGACAGATAAGTTTAAGAAAGAGATAACTCACCCATTAGTTTCTTTATACAAGATAACATTGTATTTGTGTGTAAAGTACACAGTCCTCTCATATACTTTACACCTGTTTTTAGATTATCAATAATATATAAGTCAACATAAATAAATAGCTAGTCTAAATAAATAGATAATCACAATGTATCTTTTAGGAAAAAGTTTAGAACACAATTTTGCATGTTTTAGTATTGAATTTTTTGTTGTAGGATTAGGGATCAAACCCAGGGCTTTTGCAAAGTAGGCAAACACTACCACTGGCTTATATCCACAACTCCTGATATAATTAACTTTTTATTTGATAATTTAATAATGTATATTATGTATTTTCCTTTTACCAAATCCCTCTTAATTTTCTCCTTTCTAATTTCACCCCTATCTTCCCTTCCAACTTCACATGATTTTTTTGTTTGTTTGTAGCTTTGGAGCCTATCCTGACTCTTACTCTGTTTACCATGTGTCCTCGAATTCACAGAGATCTGCCTGCCTCTGCCTTCCATTGCTGGGATCAAAGGTGTGTGCCACCACTGTCAAGCCACTTGATCTTAGTTTTAAACCCAATGAGTTCACATGCTGTTGTCTTTGTGTAGGCGAATGGAGAGCCATCTACTTACTGGTGACTTCTCAGGGCCTGCTTTCCTCCCAGCATCCATCAATTTCCCATAACTTCTCTGCTATGTGCGGGACTTTGTGAGCTCCTCCCCTTTCCATGTTGGGATTTTGTCTGGCTTGATCTCATACAAGTCTTGTGCATGCAGTCAGCTGCTCTGAATTCTTAATTTCAACTTCCTTGTTGTGTCTGAAAAATACGGTTTCACTATATTCACATGTCTGGCTCTGACAATCTTCTGTGTAGATCCCTGCTTCTCCGGAAGAGGAGGGGGCTCATGTGGCATAAATATCTCACTTAGGGTGAACAGTTTCACAGTCTCTCATTCTCTGCATGTTGACCAGTTGTGGGTTTCTGGGTTAATCAGCATCTACTGCAAAAATAAGCTTCCCTGGTGGGGGCTGAGATATGTAATAATCTAAAGCAATACAGATAAGAACTTACAAGGAAGTTTATTATAATGTTAATTTAGCAAAATAATAGCATTAGGGTTTTGGTCCAGCTAATGGTACTAGGCATGAGTTCTGTCTTGTGGAATGAACATTCAATCCAATCAGAAACTGGTTATTTACTCCCATAACATTTCTGTCACTCTTGATCCAGTGGGCATATCTTGTTGTCACCCTTGCTACTGTGGGTCACGGTCTGTGTAAGACTGCTGGTTACTAGTCTGGTAGCATGCATATTATTCCAGAACTATAAAATCTAGCTAGTAGGAATGAAGCTTCCAGATACACACCAGCTTGAAGTTTTTCAATGTTCTATGACTCAAGTATGTGATTCAACAGCAATAGAATCTTGCCAATGAAGTTTACATAACTTTTAAAACTATTTTATTTTGTATTTCCTTAGTTGAATTCCTGGATATAGAGGTCACAGATAGGAAGAGCCAACTATATATTAAAATAGTATTACTGCCTCTTGCCAAGAGTTTCGCCTGAAAGGTCTCTTTGTTTTTTGTAATGGTCACACATCCAAAACATGTATTTGGTATTTGTGTAGTTCGATTCTCTTTGTAAGGCACTATTCCTTAAAAGACACAAGGAATGCAAACTTTTTGTGTATGTCTGAGACCTGAGAGAAGAAAGACACTTCAGCTCAGTGACATTGGGTTGTGTATATCCTTCTCTTACAGACTGTACATGCTTCCAAATTGAATGTCTCCATTACCTGCTCACTTTATAAGTGATCACAAAATCTGTCACTACCTTTTACTTTGTTTTGAAACAAGATGTCACTTAGGTGACAGAAAATTCAAGGAGCAAGTTTGTATTAGTCAGGATAGAGCTTATGCTGCAGTAACAAGTACTACCGAAACCTCAGTTGTTTAACAAAGCATGACTATGATTTTTCCTACTGAAAGGAACACTGAGGGACCATGTGGGTGACCCAACATGACAAGACATGTCATTCCCTAGTCTCCCCGTGTGCTTGTACCATACCATGACTGGAATAGAATCCTGGTGAATTGTATCCTGAATCTTCAGCATCTTGGTAGAATAGAAATGCCATTTGGACATCCATAATCTTACAAGGCAGTGAAATTTAACCTTCAACAATGGAATAGAGAATTGGGAATGTTGGTGAGTAGTGTTGATATCTGTGGAGTCAATTTTGTCTCAAAGAGCAGGGAGGCGTTGTGGTTGTATTATCTCCTTTAACTTTATAGCTTTACTGAGGATATTAACAAGGCTCTAACATGAAGTCAACTGTGTGTTCTGGCCAAGTCTTATAGAACTGGAACTGTGGGCCAGAGGGTGCCATATCAAAGCAGAAACACCTGTCTTTTTAATATGATTTCAAACACTATAAATGAAAAAGTGACTCCCTAAGAGTTTAACAGACCTGAGATTCTGAAACCAATTTTAAACAGAAGAAAGACCCATAAGGTTTTGCTGTTCTTATCAGATCTGAGCCCCTGTTAGCCTTTTGAAGAATAGCATCAGCAGGCAGCAGAATCTCTTAATGGTGTTACCGTGGTTCCTGCTGGAGGGTTTATTCCATGTATTTATTTGAGCATGGCAGAAAGAAAATGTGCTGAATCCCAATAGCCAGTCATGGTAGTGCACCAAGAGTCCTGCTGTTATTCTCAGGTGCTAATTGGCTTTCATCCACAGACCTATATATAGGACCCTAACTTTTATAGTCTTACTTGGAGGAAAAGGCATGGTGGGATGGTATCATGACCAACCATGATCCCAAAACACAGGGTTTATGTTAGGACTCAATGGGACTGAGCTAACCTGAGGTATCACCACACGACCAGGTAAGTTTTCCTTTCTGTCATTTGTCTTCTCTGTTCTTTCTTTTGCTTTACAGTGCATGTTAACATTTTGGAGTTGTTCAGTGAGATGGCACAAATATTCATTTAATAAATCCTGTTAACTCAAGCACCATGAAATCTTATATAGCATTGGTACCATTTTTAGGGGGTTTGTACAAGATCCTAAATAAGTCATATGTACTGTTTAGTTCAATGAAAAGCATAGTACCCCACTGACAGTATCCCTTGGTCCCACTCAGATATTAGCTTTTAGTTACTCAAAAGTGTTCAACACCAAGACATTACAGAACAAATGTTTAAACAACCATTGCATAAGAGTAAGTATAATGTATTACAAAGGAGTAATAGTCACAAAAAAAAAGAGGTGAGGAAGAAAGAATTAACTGAAGTGGTTGGTAAACAATGCTTTAACCGGATGCTCTTACACCTACCCGGCATAGCAGGAGCTATTGTACTTCAGTTTAGTTCGTGTATTTTTCTCAAAGGTGGATCAGCAATTCTGAAAGTACTTGATGATTATAGATAGAAATATTGTCAGTCACAAGAGCAATTTCTCACTGTTTAAGAATAAAGTTACAAAAGAGGGACAACATGTAACTTGCGACACTGAATTCAAACCAGGGGAACTACAACAGACGCTTGGTGTGTAATGTGCACCATACAGATCGAGAAATGTGGACATTGGATCACATGACAGCATTTGCTAGCTTTGGGGGTCTGTCAGTGACAAAGCTGGAATTCTGTCTAGCAACTAGATCTTAGCTTTGGAACATTATTTCTGGTAGAGAAGCTACAGCTCTCTGAGCAAGCGATTAATTGCAGCCTTGTAGAAGGGGGAAACACAAATGAGCTGGGAGCATGGTGTAGAGCCAGAAAATTAGGAAGTGCTGAAAAAATATAGGTCTTGTCAGAAGACAAGAGCCATCCTAGATGGACACAGTGAAACAACTTTAGCAACAAAACATTATTAGAGTTTTACTCTTTGGAATAAAATATCCTTAAGTCCATACTGACAACACATTAAAAGTTGAGTGAATGAATAAATAAGAGTGTATACTCTTCGTTATAGAAAAAAATACCGTTAATGAATACAGAAGGGAAATCATTATTAAGAAATTATATTGTAGTTGTAATTGTGACAAACAAGATCCATTGAGCAGTGCAGAATAAATGCAAGCAGAAGCAGAAAGGTTCCAGAATCACCTAGTGTCTTCTCCGTCATAGTTAAAAGAATAGCTTGTAGTAGAGAGATCTTGCAGACAGCACAGAAACAAAGCAATGCAGATAAGCATAAATGGTGATCAGATAGTCGTACCAAATCCGTGGACACTGTACATTGAGGACACACTGTTATCTACTAACTGGAAAGATGAGGAGCCAGAGAGCAGAACAGACTCGGAGGTGAACAAATGCCATGCAGAAACTCTAGGATAGGAGAGGAGGCAGATCCACCAGTGAGACTGTTGGGAACTAGAGTAAGTTCTATTGTTACTCATTCTGGCAAATTTGTCCTGGTTAGTGATGTGAATATGGACAGAGTGCAGGGGTAACTAGTAAATTAGCTCAAAATAAACAAGCTTAAAATGAGTTTACAATTCAAATGATGTAAAATAAACAAGGTGGCAAGACAAATCACAAGTATTGGAATAAAGGTAAGCTATTCTTGCCTTCCTTTTATCGAATTTTCCACAGCGGAGCGACTTTCTAACAGCTGGCTGGATGTCCGTCATATCGAAAAATACGTAGATCAAGGTAAAAGTGGAACAAGAGAATTGCTATGGTCCTGGGCACAGAAAAACAAGACCATTGGCGACCTTTTAGAGATTCTCCAGGAGATGGGGCATCAACGAGCTATCCATTTAATCACGACCTATGGTGAGTATGCTCTCAGACTGTGGCTCTCCAGACATCCTATGGGACTTTCTGAATAGAAACACTGCATTTTACCCAGACACTGGCCAGCCTTGCTGTCAGTGACCTGTTGCTTGTGAACGTGACAGTTTCTTCCCTTGTTGCTTAACATTCCTTTCCACTTTTTGTTTTGTTTCTGGAACTTGCTATGGACACCAAGCTGGCACTCAACTCACAGAGATGCACCTTCTTCTTCTTCTTCTTCTTCTTCTTCTTCTTCTTCTTCTTCTTCTTCTTCTTCTTCTTCTTCTTCTTCTTCTTCTTCTTCAAGGCGGGGATTTGTAAAGGCTTGCCCCATTCTCCTAGCAACTACAGGATTTTAACATTTCATTTAGCAACTAATGGAATGAGCTTTACTTCTAAATCTCAGGATAAGAAATCAAAATGTTTAAATAAAAATACATAGTGCTATTTTTCATTCCATTATATTATTAAAAGTTAGCAACAACATTGGATCTCCCAGTTATAGACAGTTATAAAATCAGGTCTTTGAAAGTAAATGTTGCCTCCAGAATAAAGTTGTGACTCCCCATTTGGAGCTGTAGGCTTTAATTATGCCTTACTTATCTATCATTTACTGGAGTTTGTCTTGTCTGTTTCTTTTTATCCATGTCTCATTCATGTTGCAGCACCAGTGTGGCAATCAGAGGCTAACTTTCAGGAGGTGGCTCTCTTGTTTCTGCTCCACATTCCAGACTAGCTGGTGTGTGAGCTTGTAAGGAGGATATTTCTCATATCTTCACTTCCTATCTCCCCTAGAAGTGCTGGGATGACAGTCATATTATAGCATCCAGCTTTTTAAATGTGGGCTCCAGGGATTCCAGTGTACATGTCGCTGAGTAGGTGTGGAAGCTACTCACTGACTTAGGAGGCAGAGCTCTTACTGGTCTCTGCCTGCTGCTGTCATGGCCAGGATGTGCAGCTACACGGATAGTCTCCTTTTTGTCAGCTTTAAAATCTTCTGTTCTTTTTGGTGGATTACTTTTAATTTCAGAGGTGTGTTCTACCCTTCACACTTGAACCTTCAGGTATCACTTAGATTTGAATTGTCTTTTGAGTCTCCCAGAGAAAGCCTGGTACTCCTTTTCAGGGACTATTTTGCAAGTCAAGATTCTGTCACTAGGTGGCTTCATTACCACTCTAAAGCGATCCCTCAGAGATTACCACATAACCAACCTGTTCAATGTACCCAGTGTTTACTGTCGTATTTCCAGCATGCAGATATGGACATACTGTATTTTGCATTTATATTTTAATGACCAGAAGGATTTTTTTCTAGTTTTGCTTGTGTGTGTGTGTGTGTGTGTGTGTGTGTGTGTGTGTGTGGTTGTGTGTGTGTGTGTAGCTGTGGATGCATGTGTGCGTGTGTGTGGAGATCAGTAGACAGCCTTGGGTGTCCTTCATCTGGAGTCATCTACTATGTTTTTTAAGATCTCTCATTGGTCTGCAGCTCACCTATCAGGCAATGCTAATGGTTAGGGAGCTCCAGGGATCTTCCTGTCTGCCTCCACCATGCTGAGGTTTATAAGCAGTCCTGTGCCTGGCTGCTTGGTTTCTTGTTTATTTGGTTTTTATTTTCTTCATGTGACTTCTGAGGATTGAACTCAGATCCTCACACTTGTGTAGAAAGAAAGTACCTCTCCCGCTGAGCTATCTTACCAAATCAGTGTTCCATTGTTTTCCTTTTGAGATAGCTTTGATACATGATACACAGCTTTCTAATGGCTTCTTAGAGGAACTATTTTGAGGCTGTCATTTCCTGACAGTGCAATATTTTCTTTGTTTTCTTCAATAACAAAAGGTGTTAGCGAATGAACATTGGTGACACAAACACCTCTATACCCTTTACTTCTCTTGCAGGAACAAGTGCCAATCCTTCGGCGCCTCGCCACAGGGAGCTTCAATTTCCCAACGCATTGCCCAACGCAGAGCATGTGTGTAAAGAAAAAAGACCCTGGACCTCTGGTGCAAATCCTTTCATAGAGATTGAATGCTCTGGTGGAAAGATGCTGGACACACAGTCAGTGTGTGAAACTAGGGAAGCGTTGCCTCTCCCTTTGTCTGTATTTAGTTGAGGTCTGTAAACATGTGAGGAGCAAGCATTGTCTCCTTCCAGGACCTACGGGAATAGAGACTTAGAACTACTAAGGAGGTGGGAGTTTCTCACTCATCCTAACTCGGTTCTCAATTTCCTTTTTCTGGTTGATGTTTTATGGAGTTGCTAGTTTTTGTTTTTGTTTTTATTACAACAAATCAGTGACTTTTTTTTTTAAAGCATTACAATATATTTAAAAATGGCTATAACTGACTGCGGCACTCATAGTTTGCTGTCCCCAGTGGACATGGAAGCCATGTCTACAAGGAAATGCGTACTGTTGGGTGAAGTGAGCTGGCTCTACTCTAGCTTTCTTCCAAATTAGACTCTGCTTGTCGCAGCGTATAGCCACACGGGGAGCTATCGTTTCTGTAGGGGCTCTGCTTTTCCTAGACTTATAAAGTGGAATTACTTAGTATGTATTTCTTCTTTCAGGAACCAACCAATGTCACAGCGGATAATGTTCTTGTTCCTGAACATAATGAAAAAGGTAAAAAAAGAAAACCAGAAACAATTATATCACAATTTGATTAAACCACACTCTCATATGAGTGAGTTTGCAGGGGAAATAATAAATAATAATACTGTTTATACTCCAACTTAATATAACATTTTTATAGATCTTAAATCTTTTAAAATTTGATAGACAACTATGGTTGTAGTGGATGACATATTGTTATATAAGGATCCCTTGGTTGAAGTTGTCTTTATAAAGCACACTAGTGCATCAGTGAAAGGAAAATAAGAAACGAGTTTGCCACAGGGATCCTCTGAAACAAGAAAAAGAAGAAGGGGGGAAGTGTCTTCCCCACCATAATCATTATCATTATCATCTGTTGGCTAATGAAGGGCACACAGGGACTTTGTTAGCTGACTTTGTTGTTTTTGTGCACCATAAGAAAATGTTCAAAAGGTTTTGTTGGGTTTTGCATAGCTTAAGAAGTTTGCACAGATGTGCAGATCTTTCAAGATGATTGTTAGGTAATGCTGAGGGTCACCATGGAAATCCGTTTGTATTTCATACTAGCTTCTGTACTTTCTTTGTAGAGATAATGCCTTAGTGCCACCTGAGAGACATTCTGATAAAATTTAAAGGTTTCTTAAGGCCATTGGCAGTCATTTCCACCACATTTGAAGACTCTCTGAAAAAGTGAGAGCTAGGAAAGGCAGACCAGGTTCTGAGTCTTAAGTGCTGATATCTAAATTAAACCGTAAATGTCTTTAGATCGTGTTTGTAGAAACACAGTTAAAATTAGGCTCTGCTTTAGCTGTGCTTTTTTTATTTTTTATTTTTATCCTTGTATCTCTGGAGCTTGAACTCCTGGAGTGCTCAGCCAGCTCTCTGCAGCCGAGTGGTACCTCTAGGCTCTCTCTCTTTTCAAATTTGCATTGGGTTACTTTAAATGCCTTCATCTAGCACCTACTCTGGGTGATCTTCACTTACTCTGAGGAAACCAGCTAGGTGGTTAGAGGCTGTGGCTGACAAAAAGCTTCTCTATTAGCAATGCTGGGGGAGCACTGTTTAGTCATCCCGAGAGTCCACTAGGTCAAAAGCAAGACATCGACTGAAGGGACAAACCGATTTCTCGATTCATGGCCATAGCTAAGCTTCTTCGGTTAACCTCTTTGAAGATAAAAATCATACTGCCATTCATATAGCTCAGAAGCCCCATGCTGTATTGAGGGATGAGAGCCAGACTCAAGCAAATGCCCAGAGGACACTTGTGGGCTTCATCGTGGCCTCCTGGGACTTGCTCTCAGCCTTCTGCCCTGATGATGTGTTTTCAGTATATACGCCCTACTTGTAACAGTGATGTTGGTTCTTAGAAGAGAAGAGATGGCTCATTGTCTCCCCCTTTCTTCCCTCCTAAGGAATACTGCACAAACCCTCTATCAGCTTCCAAAATATCATAGAAGGAACCAACCATTTCCACAAAGACTTCCTAATCGGAGAAGGGGAGATATTTGAAGTATACAAAGTGGAGATTCAAAACCAAACATATGCTGTTAAATTATTTAAACAGGTATGGAATGAATTACTATAATGGACATCAATCCCACTTATTTGCTCCTATTTCATATTAAAATGTGCCTTTTTTCACTAACATTGAAAGGGTGTGTGTTTGAAAATAAAATTTCACAAATGCAAATGAGATGTATGACCTTGGGGTGGGGTTGAGGCTGAGAAATGACTAAGATAAGAATGCCTGTCTTAAAGGAGAAGCAAAACCTCTCATCTGCAGATGTGTTGCATGAGAAAGGTTTTTCAAAAAGCCATTCATGGCCCGGGAACTTTAATGAAAATCAGATTGACTGGGCATTATGGCTTTAATCTCCAGAGCAGGGAGGCAGAGGCAAGCAGATCTCTGTGAGCTCAAAGCCAGCCTGGTCTACAAAGAAATTTCTAGGCAAGCTAAGACTACACAATGTGACCTTTTCTTTAAAAAAAAAAGGGGGGGGGATCAGATCATGCTCACTTGCTTAGTCCCAGTAGTGTCCACTCCCACAACCTCAGAGCTATATATGCTACGGGTGAGCATGTTTATAGATGTTTTTTAAATCAGAGCTCAGGAAGACGAGGAAGAAGAGCCTCTGCTAGGACTGTCCGATTTCCATCGCTGCCACAGATACCTGCAAGAGTTAAGTTGAAGACGGAAAGGCTTTTCTGACTACAGCTGGATGGGTTTCAGTCCAAGCTCAGTTGGTGCTCTTGTGCTCTGGCCTGTGGTGAGACAGAACACTATAGTAGACTGACTAGAGGACAGCTGCTCAGGTCATGATGGCCAAGAAAGGGGCACGGGGAGGGCAGGGCCAGGGCATAGCCTTCTAGAATACAGCCCCAGTGGTCTAACCAGACCCTATACCTAATATATATATTTGTGTGTGTGTGTGCATGCGCACAGGTCTGCCTGAGGAGGCCAGAGGCTTTGGAGCCACCTCATCTGGAGCCTTAGGCAGTTGTGAGCTGCCCAGTAGACATTGACTTTGGGAACCAAATTCTGGTCCTCTGCAAGGGCAGTATGTGCTCCTAACTGCTAAATGTTTCTTGAGCCTTGAGTGCAGTAATTGTTTTGTAGATGTATCCTTTGGAACTGGGCTTTGCATTTTGACTGAGTTTTTCTATAATGGTCTTCATCTGTCGGAAAGAGAAGTTTCCTTGATGAGGGGCGAGAACTATACTTAACTGTGGGTGTAAGGACAAATATCTAGAATGTAGTCAAGGATTATACTGATTTGGTAAAGTGATGGTTGTAGGTTCTCCTTCAAGAGCTTTGACACATTATCCCTGGGCAGTTGGCTAGGTTTCCAGGACTGGGCTTGATTTCCCTCTCTTTGTTGACTGGGTCTCAAGTCCAATTATAGCCAAGTATCCACTACTGTGCCCTCAGGGTTATCAGGTATTGATGGTCATTGCTGAGACACAAAACTTTTTTTGTAAAAGTTTTCAACATGTAACTGGTGTTGAGAACTGTTACATAAGCTAAGGCAAAGTCACTGGGGGAGGTAAGAGGGAGTAAAATGAAATGGACCAAACATAGTTACTGGTGGCGAGGACTGGGAGGTACAGAACAGATGGAGTCTAGACTGATTCCTGCTTGTAGCTTATGTGTCAGATACTTTTATGTAATTAAGTGAGTTCTTCAATGCCCTTAAATTCCATTTTGTATCAGTAATCTCATACAGACACATTGAGAATCCTGAGATCGTCTATCTACTGAAGATAATCGGATTGTAAAACCATTCAAAATGTTAGAATATTGGCTCTTGGGACACAGTTGAAGCCAGTTTTTTTTTTTTTAACTGTCAACAAGTCATTGGCCCCACTGGCATACACTTAGGGCTGAACTCTACGGCCACCTCTCTGAAGGATCTCTCCAGTCTTCTCTCTGCAGCTGCTACCAAATGTGCACGCTCTTTTGGAGTTTTTCACTAGACTGACTTTGGAGTGCATGTTCTTGCCACTAGGTCTCCTTTTTCTCCTTTCTTGGTTGCATCCCACCATCTAGCGTGACTTCAGTGACCTGACTTAGCCACAGCATCACTGCCTCATTGCCTCATAACAAAGTCTTCAACTGCACTTCCAACCGGAGTAACAGACTTTCTCTTGAGAACTCTCATCTCTTTGTGTATCCCAGAGTCTTATTACAGGGTTATCATTAGTACTTGCTCAATGGGTGTTTGATGAGTGGTTTAAAGAAAGGTCATACAGGTCATTTTCAAGAATTTAGCAGTATAAAGTCCTGTTGTACCTGGTGGTCCTACAGTATAGCTCCCTCTTAAGACAGCAAGTAGAAGTACAGGGCTTTTGCCCCCTCCCACCTTTTTACACCATCCCCCCTTTTTTTTGTTTTACCCAACACACACAGGCAAATGGAAGACATAATCATGCCAACGCCCCTTAATTAACTATATACTTTTCTAAAGGAATGCATTTAGAAACATTGGGATAGTTCCTTTAATGATTTTTCTCAAAGGACCCAAAGTGGAGCATTTATCAGGTGTTCAGATCTGTGCTTCTCAACTCTATTGTACTCCCAGTCACCTGGACATCATCTTACAATTGTTGGTTTAGATTTGGCAGGTCTGGGAAGCAGCTCAGTGGGAGGGCTAGTGTTCCTTAGCTGTGCCCAAAACATGAAGTGTTTTGTTCAGAAGTGCCAGGTTTGCAGAGAAACAGCCAGGGTGTCTTTGTTTCATAAATTAAAACTGATAACAAACAAACAAAAAAACCTGTGGCTGAAAATCAGTAAGTACAAGGGAGTGACCTCACTTTCCTCAATATAGACTTAAAAAATGTGGGCTGTGATGAAGTAGTCCTTGGAAATGATTAGCCACCCAGGTTAATTGCTTTTAATTCAACTTGGACAGTGGTATCCAGAATTCCCCTCGGATTTCTATGGCAATAGAGCTCTAAACAGTTGATTTTCTAGCAAGTTGCAAATGAGGACCTTCTAGCTAGGACCTAGGAGCATCTTAATGTAACATTTTAATGATTGAAGCAAGGAGCTTGAGATCCAGGAATGTATAGTGATACAACATTGAAGACACCAAGACCATCCATCTACTACCCAAGTGCTCAGACAACTTTGTTGAAGTTATTAATTTATTCAATACCCATATGCCTAGATTTTGGCTAGATGATGATGATGATGATGATGATGATGATGATGATGATGGTGATGATGGTGATGGTAATAATAATGGTGGTGATGATGGTGGTGGTGGTGATGATGATGATGGTGATGGTGGTGGTGATGATGGTGGTGGTGATGATGGTGGTGGTGGTGATGATGATGATGGTGATAGTGGTGGTGATGATGATGATGGTGATGGTGGTGGTGATGATGGTGGTGGTGATGATGGTGGTGGTGATGATGGTAATGGTGGTGGTGATGATGATGGTGATGGTGGTGGTGAAGATGGTGGTGGTCATGATGACTGGACAGGTCTATTGTGTAGATCCAGGTGAACCTGAATCTCACAGAGATGCATCTGCCCCCTGAACAGTGAAATTAAAGTCCTGCACCACTTGTCTAGATTTGAAACTTTGTAGTAAGAAGTTATAATTTCCTTTGATAGCAGGCACATCTTTTCAAAATTAACGCAAATGAGCCATTTGCGTTAAATTTAAATGGCCATATGCAAATGAGCCAACTCTTAATTGCTAAAACAGTGGAAGTTTGCAAAGAACACAGGTAACGTGTGTGTGTGTGTGTGTGTGTGTGTGTGTGTGTGTGTGTGTTCAGTGAGGAGTTGCTATCATTGTGGAATTCCCCATGAATACATTAATACTTTAGAATTTATGTAAATGTCTGTAATTGGGCCATTTGAATATGCGATTTGCAACATGGCAGATTGCAGGAAAACTTTCAACTCAAGAGTAATGGTTTTAAGTCTTGTTTGGAAGTTAAAATGTTTTGGAAAATCTGAGGAATGCTAAGGATTCTCTCCCCGGGGCATCTCGAGGGTGGGGGCTCAATTCTTTCAAACAGGGAAACTCCCCCTAGACAAAGACTTTCAGAAGTAGAGAGCTAGCTCCTAAATCCTTTTCTTTTTCTTTCTTTTATGCCATTCAGGAGAAAAAAATGCTGTTTAAGAAGCACTGGAAGAGATTTCTATCAGAACTGGAAGTTTTACTCCTGTGAGTTCATTTTGTTCATCTTGGATCTTACAGCAGTGTTTGGCATGGCTGGCATTTAATTAGTGTGGGTTGGATGTTAAGAACATTGGGTACACTTTTGACATCTGCTTTGGTGTATCCCCTAAAAGAAATTTCAAAATAGAGCACTTCCATGATTCATTTGGGCATATTGAAACAAGAAATCGTCGCAAGGAAGCAGGTTAAATTGTGTGTGACTAATGCTGCTGCACAGTGATTTTAGCATGACAATCGTGTCCCCTTCCCCAGAGATGTTTCAGCTGAGAGACTGTTTCATCCGAGTGACTCTCTTCAGAAAGAGAGTTTTAGACAAAGAAATCAAGGGCTTTTGACGTGCGTATGATTTTCCTGGGAATTCATTCATGAATCTGGGAGTCCCGGAATGACGAATTTAAATGGCTTCATTTTTATGTAACTTCTCTATAAGTGCAGCTGTGCAGCCTTCCCCACTGGAGGCCTCTAACATGGGGGAACTCACCTCTCCTCCCAAATAGAAGATGCTTTCCCTGGTGTTTTTGGAGCAGATATATGAGATGGAGAGAAGAGGAAAGTAAGGAGAGAAGCATTATGCTACATCCTATCCCTTTTATAGCCAGGGCCAGGGACTAGAATTAGAAGCTAATAGTTGCTGATAAAGTGCATTCAATCCAGAAATTGTAATAATAGATTTTTACAGTTTCACTTGTTTGTTTATGAAGGTAAGATTCGGACATCTCAAAATCTGGGAAGCACAAGAAATAAATTTCGAAAGTATCTTTTCCCACTACCCAGCTGATTTCTTCTTTTTTTTCAAAGGCAATCTCATTACCAGCCTTTTGTATATACTCCTGGAAGTCTGTCACACACGCACAAATACATTTTGGCTCCTTATTTTCATTCTTCCACACAAAAGGTGACATAGCACATGATTCACTCTGCTTCTTGTTGTCATGTTCTATTCTAAGGTTACCTTTCTTCTGTTGAGAGGTTTAAATGTCTCATCTCTTTTAACCCAAGAATGCTGCATAATGTCAAAAAAGAAAAAAAAAAGAATATTTCAAATGCCGATGTTAAAGAAATTTTGTTTTAGGGCCCGAATGCTGTCAGATCTTTTATTTAAATTTCTGATGCATCAATCATGTCGGATTTTTGTATGTGTTTTAAGACTCATTTTTTCACCCGATCTCTTTCCCTAGTACCATTTGTTGAAGAGATGTTTCTTTCCCCTTTGTACATTTTTCACCTCCTAGTCAGGGTTTTAGTCAATGATATACGTACGGATTGGGTTATTTCTGGAGCCTCCATTCGGTGCCACTAGTAGGCGGAGCTGCTTTCTGCCAAAGCATCCTGATTTGATTACTAAAGCATTGTGTTGCTACTTGAAATGGGGGCTCGGCTTTCTCACATTACATTGACTGTTTGAAGTCTTTCATGGTTTCATATGGGTTTTAGGATTTCTCTTGTAGTGAAAAAATGTTGCAGTTTTGTTAGGGATAACATCAAATCTGCGGCTTACTTTGGGTAACTTGGACAATTTGACAGGATTAATTCTTGCAATGCACAATGCTAGATGTATGCTCCCAATTGCTTATGTCTGTAATTCTCTTACCAATGTAGTTTTAAGTGTACAGATCATTTATCTCTGTGATTATGAGTTTGTGAGTTTATTAATTATGAGTTTGTGGTAAATTTATTCCTTAGTATTTTATTCTTCCTGATGCCTTAGGAACAGACAATTTTTCTCATTCTTTATTCAGGTAGCTCATTGTGAATATAGAGAAATAACATTAATTTTATGTGCTGATTTTGTATTGGGAGAATATCGTGAATTCATTAGTTCTAGCTGGTTTTTTTGTTCTTTTTTTTTTAAAAGTCTTTTGGGTTTTCTACAAATGAGATCATGTAACAAGCAAAATGAGACAATTTATCTGTCTCCTTCCTACCTCAGATGCCTTCCTTTCTTCTCCTCTTTCTTCTTCTTCTTCTTCTTCTTCTTCTTCTTCTTCTTCTTCTTCTTCTTCTTCTTCTTCTTCTTCGTCGTCGTCGTCTTCTTCTTTGTCTTCTTCTTCTTCGTCTTCTTCGTCTTCTTCTTCTTCTGCCTACTTGCTCTAGCTTGGATTTGCAGTGCAATGCTACATTCCCTCTCCTTAAGGAAAATACACTTGTCCTGGTGAGTTGTTATTAGTTATGAGTTTGTGGTAAATAGCATTTATTGTATTGAGGTGCATTCTCTCCACAATTCATTGAGAATTCTATCTTAAAGGGTTTCTAATTTGATAAATGCTTTTCCTGCATCTGTTGAGATGATCACGTGACATTTTTACTTTCACTTGGATAATGTGGCATATTATTGGTCACTTTGTACATGTGGTGCCATTCTTGAATCCCAAGGATATAATTCTACTTTATCAGGGGATATAGTCTTATAAAAATAATATTTGAAGTCTCTGAGAGTTCATAAAAGTCTTTGATGGTGTTTACTGCTATTCCCTCACTCCTCTCAGATCTACCCTCTCTGCCTTCACCTCCCTACCAACATAACTTTGAGCTTTCTTTTCTTTTTTAATACATTAGAACTATTTTTTCCATTTGTTTGCTTGTTTGGTTGGTTTTGTTTTGGAGACTGGGTTTCTCTATGTAGCCTTGGTTGCCCTGGAACTTGCTCTATAGACCAGACTGGGATGGAACTCAGAGATCTGCCTGCCTCTGCCTCGTGAGTGCTGGGATTAAAGGTGTGGGCAACCACACCTGGCAAGATGTAGGTGTCTCAATTCCTGAATATAGTTACAGACACCTTCTCAGAGAGTTGAAATAACCTGGCTGCCTTTACACAGCTGATATAAAGACAAGGACATGAGCCCAGGTTTGTGCATTCTTCAAGTCTGTCTGCTGTGTCTCGCCATGTAGACTTGTATTGTTTTGCCAATGGTGGCCATTTAGAAATTTTTTCTGAATTGATTTCAATTAGTATCAGATTTCCTGATCTTGGTCTATATAACTTAAAATTCTTGTGGACTTAAAAATTGCTAGGTAAATTATCAGCAGCATGAGTTTATAGGCTCAAAAGAAGTAATTCCAACTGCCTTTCTATGTTCATTCCTCACTGACACCTGAACAAGCCAGTTTTTTTTTTCTACTTGACCAAATGTTGAAAACTAAGTGAATTGTGGGGTTGGAGAAATGGTTCCGCAGTTAAGAGCACCAGGTGCTCTTGCAGAGGACCCAGGTTTGATTTCCAGCTCTACATGTTAGCTCATAGTCATCTATGATGACTCCAGTTCTAGGGGATCTGGTTCCCTCTTCTGGCCTCTACAGGCATCAAGCACATACTTGCAGGCAAAACACACTTGCATAAAATAAAATAAAATTTAAAAAAATAAAAATAAGAGAACTGAGAATCATGGAATGCCTTGCCTCTGTGATGTCTTCTACCTACTGCTTTCCAAAAGATGTTTCTCTCTGCATTATTTTAGGTTGCAGGGAAACCAGCCAGCCAGTGGTACAGATTATCTGCTTAAGCAGCTTGACATACCTCCTCAATTTATTACTAGCCCACTCTTTTCCATTGCACAATCTGAATTATAATAAAGAGTAGGCATCTTGTTTTTGACATGTTTTAAAATGAGAGTCTTTCCATGTTATTTGTGTATGTGTTTATAGATACAGATGTACACACACAAACGTTGGCTCTTTTGAGGCAAGAGAGATAAAGTAGTCACCACCACCCCTGTAATATCAGATAAATATATACAAATTGTAAATCTATACATGTGTATGTAAGAGAGTATATTTGTTGGGTTTGTAGGAAATTTGCTACAAAAGAAGCAAATTATAGACCTTTATAAGTAGAACATTTTTTACAGCCTCATTTATTTTAATGTTCCCAACCATGCCCAAGATGTAGTATGTATTCAGTATATTAAACTGAGCTCATAGTCTTTGCATATTTCACATTTTGCAGTTACCTGGGGCGTTAGTACTTTAGTTGCTGCTGTGACAAGACACCTGACAAAGAAGGACTTAAATAATTGAAGGTTTGTTCTGGCTCTGGTTTGAGAGTACAATCCATCACAGCAGGAAGTCGAGGTGGTAGGACTGCAGGGTGGCTGGCCTTTTTGAGTTCACAGTCAGGAAGCACACAGAGATGAGTTCTTGCTGTCTTCTTGCCTTGTCTTTTTCCTTCGTTTCTGGACTCTAGTCCTTGAGATGGTGCTGCCCACAAGCAGTGCTTTCCCCATGTTTATTCTAATCTAATCAAGTCAACAGTAATGATTAATCATCACACCTGGAGTGTATTGATCTCCAGAAAGCAAAGGCATCCAAGGGTTATCCTTTATTCTGGTTAATTGGTCAATAACTGATTGGAGCAAAAGCCCAAGAGTTACATAGTATATTAATGTAGAAATCTGTAATTCAAGGTCAGTGTCATAGTTTTATACTTCAAGCTACTATTATGTGGATTTTAGATAACAATGCAAGCTTTGTAAAGATTCAACTAGCTCTTTCCTGCTGGGTTTCACCCAGGACCTGATGTAGCAAAGGCCTGTTAATAGATGAGTGAAGACAGTCTTCTCTAACCCTGTGAATTTGTGACTTACTTCTTCATATCCTTAACCAGACAGATCTCAGTTGCATTGTCATTATTTGCTTAATAAAATAAAGATATGACACTGTTTTATATCAGCAAAAATAACTGAAGATGGAACCATGTTTTCCTCTTTGTAGGAAGTTCTCAGTATCCCTAACTTTAAAAATCAACGCTTCCTTAAATGTCCCGCCTTTTATTGTTTTTATTTACATGCCAGCAGTCAGCTAAAAGGGGTGGAGCTAGCACTTGATGGAACGTCCAATGAAACTACTTGTCTCTAGGCCTAACTTAGTCTCCCATGAGAACTGTTTCCCACTGTTCCTAATCAGAGTCTCATCCACCTTCTATTTGAGTGATGGATTTGATGGTTTCAAACCTTCTGGTTCAAGGTTCCGTCATCCCCACATACTAGAGTTGGCTGCATATTTCACCGAAATGGAGAAGCTCTGCCTGGTTCATCCGTATATGAGTAACGGGACGCTTTTTGACAGACTACAGTGTACAGTAAGTTGGGGATAGCATTCACTTGGGTCATTTGGTCTGATAAAGCCTGGAGTAAAGGGGAACTGTTGACACTGGAGGGAGCTGGCAGGTGAGGTGAACACACACATGGGGGGATATTCAGAAATGGTTCCCCAGGGAAGCAGAGGACCTCTCTGGAAATCGATTCTTACTCCTAGATGGCTGCCTGAAAACATGAGTTACTGGGTTCTGAGTAATATTGCCAAATATTTATAAGTGAGTTTATAACAGTGAGTCTCGACTTCTCTCAGCATGTAGCATTTAGGCAGGCACAGGACTGGGCTAGCCAAAACCAGGGTCTTATGCATGTTAAGCAAGGATCCTACTGCTAGACTGTACTTTCAGCCCACTGGCTACAGTTTGACTAAACTAATGTTAAAAATTGTTGGGTATTTCCCTAGGCTAGTGGTTCTCAACATTCCTAATGCTGTGACCCTTTAATGCAGTTCCTCATGCTGTGCTGACCCCCAACCATAACGTTATTTCATTGCTACTTCATAACTGTAATGTTGCTACTGTTATGAATTGTAATGCAAATATCTGATATGCAGGATATCTGATAGGTGAATCCCATGGGGGTCACATCCCACAGGCTGAGAACCACTTCCCTAGAACCATGAGGAAAACCCATTTGGAATTAAAAACAGGTTGTAGCAAACTGTAATATTGATTCACCTTTCACTCCACCTTGCCATCTACCACTATGGTAGCCTGCACCCACATAGAGGATATATAGGTAATTTGCACTAAGAAAACACAGCCAAACCAACTCCTCTTGATTTTTGTTTGTTTGTTTGTTTGTAGAATAATACGGCCCCACTTTCCTGGCACATCCGAATCGGTGTATTAATAGGAATATCCAAAGCCATACGATACTTGCACAACACTCAGCCATGCTCAGTCATTTGTGGCAATATTTCCAGGTAAATGATTTGGGAACCTTAGGTTCCACCACAGCCTCTTTCAGCACCACAGGTAAGTGACTCAAAAACCCCATCCTCTTCAAACAGTACTCTTCCTGGAATGTATATGAGTGTAATGAGAACTCTCGTCTAAGTATTAAAATTCTTACCTTCTTCCTCAATGAAAATGCATTCACCAGATTTCTAAAAACCGCATTGTATTAGCCTTTTTCAGAGAGAAAAGCTGAGGCTTAGAGAAGTTATGTGGTCCTTTAGGTCACAATTTAAGAGGAAGTTCTGGCCGGTTTCTAAGGTTTTCTGATGTAAACATCGGGGAAGTCTGAGCTAGGAGGTGGGAGGACAACAAAGCAAAAAACTTTTCCTGCCTCTCCTATTTCAGATCTCTCTTAGGCCGACTCTTCTCCTGTAGCTGTGCCCTATGCTTCCATCCATTGCTACCCAGCTCCTAGGTATGCTTTTGCTCCCGAGCATGGAAGGTGAACTGGTGCTGGCTCACAACAGAACAACCAAGTCTCTACCTGGAACTATGCTCCCTAGTGTGAAGGTTTGTGCTCCCTAGCTTGGAGGGTGAGTCCATGCTAACTCACAACAGAACAATCGAGTCTCCACCTGGAACTGTGCATGGGAGAAGGGCTGCACTCACGTTATAGCCCTGCTCCAGGACAAGCCACAGGGCAAGCACCGTGCGCTGTGCCTGATTTATTGATATCTTTGAAAAGCCATCACAGCTTCTGCAGCTTTTCCATGACATCAGTTAGAGCCTCCACAGCCACAATAGACTGACGACCTCTCCACCTGCTCAGTTCTGCGGTCTTCCTTTTCTCTACCCACATATTTGGTTTCTTTGATTCAGTAAACTGAATGGAGAGACTGAAGACACAAGGGAGTAGAAAAATCCTGGAGTCTCTTCCATAGTCTCGGAAGATAACAGGAAGCTGGTGCTTCCAAGGCAATAGCCCAGGTACTTGCCTGGCTATGTGGAACTATAAAGTTGTGTAATAGCCCAGCTAGACAGAATCCCCAGTAGGTAATAGACAGACAGACAGACAACAGACAGACAGATGATGAGAGACTAGTAAGAACAAAGTGTCGTGGGAGAGGTGACACTTGAGTTGGAAAGACAGCTGATCACATATTTACTTTTTAGTTATGGGAGGGCCTGATGGCTGTTCCCTATCTGGCTGTTAGGGTTTGGATCGTAAGTGTATGTGAAAGAACCTAGCATGTCGGTGGCTCATCCTAGCACTTGGGAGGCCCAAGAAGGAAGATTGCTATGGGTTTGCAGCCAGTATGAGATGCAGAATGATATCCTCCTAAACACCTCCCCTGCTGGGCAGTGGTGGTGCATGCCTTTAACTCCAACATTCTGGAGACAGAGGCAGGCAGGCAGACCTCTGTATGTTCAAGAATAGCCTGATCTACAGAGTGAGGACAGCTATGGCAGTTACACAGAGAAACCCTGTCTCAAACAAACATAACTACCTCCCTCAAAAGAAATAACTCTCAAAGGCTTCTGTACTGAATATGTGATCCCTACAGTGGTCCTATTAGTACAGGTTGGCACATTTAGGAAGTGGACCGGAAGTTAGGTCATTGTGAGTATCTCGACCTTTCTGGACCTTCTCAGCCACCATGGGGAGAACAGACCTCTTCTGCTGTACCTCCATACAATGATGCAGTTTCCTTCCACAGACCCAAAGTCATGGGACCAGCCAGCTATGGACTGAAACCATGAGTCAGAGTAAATCTTTATTCTTTGTAAATTGTTTCTCTCTAGTATTTTGTGAGTGAGAGGAAACTGACTACCATGGCTGTTTTTCTGGAGCCTGAGGATTCTAACGTAGTCCACCCAAAGACTGCAACTGCAGGGGTCTCTGTACCTCCAGGGCCAGTAGAGTAATGATCCGTGGGAGACAAGAAGGCAGTTTCGTTCGACATGGCTAAGTAGCTGGTGTTGGTTCAAGCTTCAGGAGTCTGACAGGGTGGGGTTATTTTAGGCATATTTACGCGCGGCACAATTTGACAAAAACTTTCCTGGTGATAATTAACTCGATCTCGTGTTCACAAAAAAGCTTACATAAATCACCCTGAGAATCTTGAGTAACAAAGTAAGCTAAATAAAGATCATATATGACTACATTGAAACACCTTGTAAAGTACGTGTCACATCTGCCATTAAGATGGGTTCTATAGATTGACTAAGAAAGCCAGGTCTGGGTGAGGATCTGGTATGGTCCCCTGTCACACAGATAGTGCAAATGCCACCAGATTATTAACCATACTCTCTCCCAGCATTCTGGGAGGATAACAGGTTATATGTCCCTTCGTCTGAAGGAACAACCATGTGTGTTTAACATTCCAGGATACACTAGTGTTGGCCTCCGTGCCTCCTACATGCACACAGACATGTGTCCAAGAGTGAAATTCCAGTGCTGTGGACACATGTTTGGGAGTCATGCTTTCACACGGTTTTATCACCATCCCTGCCTGTTCCAGAACAAATCAAACGCCTTCATAGCCACCTACTCATAGCCTTTCTGCTGAACTGCCAGCAAAGGTATTAACTAGTGCCAACTTCAGCTATAGGCAGCTCCTGCTTACTTAGCCATAGGCACACCTGTGATCTAGGAATTGGAATGAGACCAGTTGGGTTCATTTGGGTCACCAAACACCTGTCAGATGGTAACTGCACCTGTCCAAAGGAGTCTTGGCCAAATGTCAGTTGGCTGACCTAGGTCACCTTCCCGCTCTCGTAAGGGACTCCTTTCCTTCACTCAGAATGTAGACCTTGCTGATTCTTTGCCCATTGTTCTCAGAAGGGTCCAAAGTCACCAACTCTCCTGTCTTTGGCATACAGTTTGAAAAGCCATAATTAGGAAGGACAGCTTCTAGCAGGGAAGCCATATGTGTTCTTGACAGTTGACTCAAAGATCTGTGTTGGACAATAGTAAAAAATGGATAATCTTTGTTTCCCTTTCTGTATTGAACTTGAGACTAATGGATCACAGACTTTATTAGCAACATTGACATTGATTAATATCAGTATCATGAAACCACTCAGCACAATGAATATAAAGTGAGATTAGTTAGAAAAAGCCAAAGCTAAGGATTACATAGCACATAATTATAACATTGTAGTACTGCGAATTTATTTTTTAAAAATATTAGAAGTGAAGCCTACCAAAATATCAGCAAGGCTTTGTCACTATGGCTCATGTTTTGTAATGACTATGATTTTCTTCCATTTTATCTTTAAAAAGCAAATTTAAGCTAAGACTAAGAAAGATAACTATGCTATGTTTTGTCTCATGTGTTAAATCTATATTTTAAAAAACATATGAGCCGGGCGTTGGTGGCGCACGCCTTTAATCCCAGCACTCAGGAGGCAGAGGCAGGCGGATCTCTGTGAGTTCGAGACCATCCTGGTCTACAAGAGCTAGTTCCAGGACAGCCTCCAAAGCCACAGAGAAACCCTGTCTCAAAAAACCAAAAAAAAAAGTTTCTTTTCTTTGTCGGGCATTGGTGGCACACGCCTTTAATCCCAGCACTTGGGAGGCAGAGGCAGGCGGATCTCTGTGAGTTCGAGGCCAGCCTGGTCTCCAGAGCGAGTGCCAGGATAGGCTCCAAAGCTACACAGAGAAACCCTGTCTCGAAAAAAAAAAAGATATGAAAATACAAGCAGGGCTCTTTAGGAAGAGAAACCAAACTTGGGAGGTGGAAGGGCTAGTCATTGCAGTATATGTGATTGAAATAGATCATTTACATTTAGAAAAATTTTATAATGAAGTCCAATCCTTTGCATACTTAATACTTCCTAATAAAAACACATGATCCAACTTTAAAAATGTTTCAGAATTATATTATACTCTAAAACTAAAGCTAATTTTATCCTGGGTATGATGGTACATGCCTTTCATACCAGGAAGTAGAGGCAGGAAGAGCTCCTCGAGTTCAAGGCCAGCCTGATCTTACTTCATGCAAGGACAGCCAGGGCTACATAGTGAGCCCTTGCCTCAAAAATAAATAAATAACAAAACAAAAATACTTTTTTTAGGACAAACCCCCAACAATTTGTCATCAGCCTTTCACTCTCAAACCAACTAACATTAAGAAGTTCCATTGTCTAGAATTAATTCTACTATTAAAGGCTTCAATATCTTACACATTTAGGACTCTTTTTTATATATGTATATATATACATATATATTTATATTTATATAAGAAGACCAATAATAGCAATATGTTATGCATCAATAGCAGCAACAGCTTTTCCAGGTTCTGCAGTCATTTGAGCAAAATTGTAGAGACATCCAGCACACTCCATTTAAAAAGAAAAAACAACAAAAAGTAAAAAACAAAATCCCAGAAAACAGCACAGTTCTGTTACTCTTGTGGTACCTGGCACCATTTTTTTTTAAATTAGCTTCTCAATCATCATCTGGAAGGAAACCATTCTGAGCAACATCATTAAAAACAGCTCTGATAAAGCACGGTCACTACTATGTATTATAAAGCAGATCCACATATGGGTGAGTACATATCAGGTTGAAGGGCATCTATGCTGCTTCCAGTTTCTGGATATTACAAATAGTGCTGCTATGAACATCGTTCAACAGATGTCCTTGTTGTATGAATGTGCTTCTTTTGGGCATATCAATATGCCTAGAGTGGAATTGCTGGATCTTGTAGTAGACTGATTACCATTTTCTTGAGGAGTTGCCATACTGATTTCCACAGTGGCTGTACAAGTTGGCACTCCCACCAGCAGTGGAGGAGTGCTTCTTCTTTCTCCACATCCTCTCCAGCATAAACTGTCATTGGTATTTTTCATTTTAGCCATTCTGACAGGAGTAAGATGGTATCTCAGAGTTGTTTTGATTTGCATTTCCATTTAGGACTCTTAAAGATAAAAGCAGAACTGGAAAATCTAGACAAGTCATTAAGGCTTAAGTAAGTTACACAGGTACATAAAAATGATACTAATATATACTCATATAATG